CTGGGGCTTGAAAGATGGCCCAGAGTACTTGCTGCTCTTGCAGAGGACCTGGGTTCAATTCCTAGCACCCACATAGCAGCTAACCATCATCTGGAACTATAGTTCCAGGGGATCTAACACCCTTCTGGTCTCCATGGGTACCAGGAACATGTAGTACACATATATGCAGACAAAACACTCATACACATAAAACAAAAATGAATTTTAAAAAATTCCTTCTTCATTTGGAAGACATTTCCTCACTGAAGCTTAGCTATGTCAGCTAGGCTGACAGATATTTTTCACAATTTGCATTGTTTAGGCAATTACGCATTGTGCCCTGTCAATAAAGGAAAGGGTACAAAAGCTGAGAGTCCACCACAAACAAAAAACAAACAAAGCAATAAAAACAAACGAATGACCTGGCCACCATTGCAGAGCCCTGGCCCAAGGTGCTCACCAGGACGGAGCTCTCGAGCCGGCCCGAGAGCAGAATACTGATAGCAGAATACCGTGTGTGTGTCAGGTGGATGCCCCACGGGAGGGCATCAGAGGGAAGAGATGGCAGGAGGGACAAGGTGGTAACCCACAGGGAACTACAGAGCATGGCTCTTGCAAGGTCGTGTCACTCCGTGGTGTGGCAGTTCCAGGGCATATGCCACACACGCGTGTAGAAGAAGGGCCTGACCAAGGACAAGGCTAGCCTCCCCATGAGTGGGTTCATTTCATCAGGGCAGCCTTGAGTGGGCAGGACTGGCATGACTAGCCGAGTCCCTGGGACTTCTAATAACATAGCTGGCATCATGGCGTGGCTGTTGACTTACCAAGCCCAGGGTGTAAATCCACCCCCTGGAAGACTGCAGCTGAGTTTTGGATACTCCTGCTCCCACAGACTCTGTCAGACTTCAGGAGTACAGGCTTACAGCATCAGGATGGCATTCTGTCAACACTGTTGCCTCTCTCACTGTCACATATGCTTTCACTCACCTGGCTGTGAAAGCCTTAAAGTAAGGCACCATGTCCTCACTTCCCACAGGCATGACTGTGTCTAGTTGTCAGGGATGTTCCCTCAGTCCCTTGACCTTCCTCCTCCCCCCTCTCCCAACAAGGGAGGGCTCAGTCTCAGGAACTCCAGCAATTGGCTTCCTTCCGATTTGATAACTCCGAGATGTTTCTCCTCTTGCTCCTTAAAGTGAGATTCTTAATTAGCAAAGAGCCCACAGACAGGACTGAGGCTGGGTATAGTAGCTTGTTAGCCCAGATTTTGGGATTTAAGAGGCAGGAGGATTGCTCTGCTCAAGTCCGCGGTCAGCCTGGTTTGCATAGGGAGCCTGTGAGAGCTACACAAGGAGCCTGTCTTAAAAGAACAAAACCCAAACTAAAACCAGAACCAAACACACACAAACAAAACAAACAAGGCAAAATGAGCCAAGCTTTAGTCTAAGTGGACACACTCAGACACACACGCACATCAAGAATGAAAAGAACTGCAGAATAAACAATGACATACCCATGACTGGCCCTGTTGGCCTGAGTCCTGCTAAGTTCCCACATACATACCTGAGAGGTTTGTGCCACATTCTGATGTGATGAAGCGATCTGAGATGGAGACAGGGTGCTGGTGCTCCTCTGCTACCTGTACCCCAGCACCCCACACTCCTGCTCCAGCCTGAGATAGCTCTTAGCCTCAGAATCAGGCTAAAAGGCCCAGCACTTTGCCCTGGGTTGCTAAGCATTGGATGCTGGGAGGACCAACCTCATTTTCCAAGCACTGGTTTTCCTTCTTCACTAAGACAGCCTCTAACTAGAAGGACCAGAACCATAGATGAGACGGGCAAATGAACACTGAGATGACCTGAGCTGGGCCCTCCCATGGCCCTCCTCTGGGCATCCTCTCACATTGGCTACTTTCAGAGAAAGCTGGTCCCAATGGGTATGCTTTTTGCATTTATCTTCTACTGGGCCCAAAGAGCCTCTAACACTGAGTGTGGCTGTCACGCTCAGGGCCAAATACACAGTGCTGTGGAGAGAGGCTCAAGGCTGGCAAACAAGCCATGCAGGGACACACAGCCCGAGAGGCTGAGAGGCTGGAGCCTTGGAGGGCCTCCAGACAGAGCACAACCCTGCCCAACAGTGATGTCACCTCCTGTGGCCAGCACAGCAAAAGGGAGCCATCCATGTCACCTACCTTCCGAAAGCATTGCTTCTGCTTAAGCCACTCTGTGTCACTGCCTATGAGTAACACTTAGAAAAAAAAAAAAAAAAAAAAAAAAGGTGATCACTGTCCACAGTCTGCAGATCCGGGCTGCTCAGGAAGAGAAGAGTCAGGAGCCTCAAGCATGTTTGCCCAACATGGCTGTCCTAAACTGTATAGCCTTGTCGTTCCTGCCCTGGGCCCCAGCACAGCTGTGCTATCCTGAGGTTGCTCTATTTCTGCCACAGGGGCCTCAGGAAGGTCAGTAGAAAACAACCTTTTGGATTGAAGTCCTGGACATAGCAGTTGGCCTCCTAGTTAGCAGACTCTGGGTGGTGTTTGTTGAATGGATGCGTGGAAGAAGTTCAGTGAGGAGTGGTACAACCGCTTTAAGGAGAGAAAAGCTCTGGGACAGAGCATTTTTGACCGACTGCAGCAGAAGACACTGTGACTCTGGCTCTCAGACCAAGGAAAAAAATCTCAGCCAAGGGCTTGAGCCCATCTCATGGAACAGAAAGAGTTAAATGTGAGGAGATGGAGGGACAGAGCCCAGAGCTAAGGTGACCATAGAGACGGGGGGGGGGGGGGGGAGGTTCTGCTAATACTGACTTCATGCTAAATGAACAGGATGCAGCCATGCAGCAAGAGCCACGTGAAACACATCAACAGATTCGTCTTGATCAAATATGTACAAAAATTTAAACCGAGAGGAGACAAGCAAATGTCATCAAATGTCAAGGAATGAGAATCAGAGTCCTGGATTAAAGGGGATAAGAATAATGTCCCTGCTGGGGCTGTTCTGGCCTGTGCCTGCTTCTTGTCTGTCAGGACACATCTTCGGCTACCAAGGGCACAACACCTTTGATTCTTACAATGTCATCCCTGATCAAGTGGCAGGTCAGTGGTCTGTTTGCTGAGCATGGAATTAACCAGGTTGTTAGCTCTCCAGGGACATGGCCTGAATACCTGTAACAAACAGGGATAGTGTTCACTTGGCTCATGGCTTCAGAGGTTTCAGCACACAGTCTTTGGTGATCCCAATATGGTAAGGTGAAGCATAATGACAGAAGGACCACGTGGCAAAGGCTGCTCACCTCATGGCATATGGGAGGCAGGGAGAGAGGACAAGATACAGTCTCTGAAACTATGCCCTCCCTGACCTGCTTCCTCAAGGTCCCGCCTCTCAGTCTCTAAACCTTTCACAATAGCTAGACACCAAGCCAGGGCATGAGGTCTGGAGGAATGCTTCTCATGCAAACTGTAGGACCAGGTTAGGAAACACAAGAGAAAGGGCAGGCGGAGCACACTTACTCCTCACCCTAATAGAGACGTGAAACACCGTTCACTGAGCCCATCTTTAAGGCTCAACAGCAGGTTTCAAGCTGGGTTTTGGAGGAAGTGAGACCTGAACCACAGAAGTATCCTGTCATTTTCAACATTATCCTGTATGTGTGAGGGGTGTGTGTGTTTTTAAGTTGTTGACATCCTTCCTTCCTTGATGAGGTCTCACTGTGTAGCCCTGGCTGTCCTGGACCTCACTGTAGAACCAGGCTGGCCTGGAACTCACAGAGATCTGCCTGCCTCTGCCTCCCTAGTGCTGACACTAAAGGTGTGTGCACCACACCTGGCTGTATTATCTTAATATCTTAATTCTTGCTCTCTGAACAAGAATTTTCGTTTAGGTCTTCTTCGGTGCCTTTCAATGATGTTTTATAATTATTGGTATGTCTGACACTTTGAAAACACTGAGCATTCTATTCTTTCTGGTAATAAGTGAAATTATTTTCTTTTTAAAAAAATTATTTTTTGTGTATATTTTGTCTACATGTATGTCTGTGTACCACACATGTGCAGTGCCCATGAAGGCTAAAAAAGAGTGTTGGGTCCTCTGGGACTGGGGTTACTGGTGGTTGTAAGCTACCATGTGGGTGTTGGGGATCTAACTTAGGTCCTCTGAAAGAGGACCCTGTGATCTTAATCACTGAGCCGTCTCTCTAGCCCCAAACGGTTTTCTTCATTTCCTTTCTTGTGTTGTTCATTGCTAATGAATTGAAAACAGTTGATTTTCAGGCTGGTAGAGTGCGTATTTCACATGCAGGAAGCTGTGGGAGCAACCCCCAGCCCTGCATATACTGGGCATGGTTCATGTTTGCAAGGTGTAAGACATACCGATAATTATAAAACCTCACTGAAAGGCACCAAAGAAGCCCTAAACAAAAACCTCATGTTTGGAGAGTGAGATTTAATATTAAGATGACACAGCCAGGGGTGGTGGTGCATACTTTTAATCCCAGTGCTAGGGAGGCAGAGACAGGTGGATCTCTATGAATATAATCCTAGTACTAGAGATGGAAGCAGGAAGATCAGAAGTTCAAGGTCATTCTCAGCTGCACTTCAGGCCAGCCTGAGATACAAGAGATCCTGTCTCAAAATAAATAAATAAATAAAATTTTTTTTTTAATGGAAAAAAAAAGAGAGAGAAGCAAGGAAGCAGAGAGGTACAGAGCCAGTTAATCATGTACCCAGCAACTTTTTGTTTCCTGGTTCTGCTCAATTGCCTGACAGGGCTATGCTGTGCCATGCTGCAGAGAGCTGGCTCTTGTAGTCACTTTTCCTTGAAGCTGAGTTTCTTCCCCAGACAGAGGGGCAAAGGTTAAGCCCATTCTTGTGTTGTTATGCCATCCACAGCAGAAAACAGCCCCTTCCCAACTTGTGGTTTTAATTACCCCCACACTCAGGATGGACTCATACCCATGCACAGGAACGCACCAGCCCCAACCCCAAGCTTAACCACAAACGACATCCACAGTGGAGCGGACAATGAGAGTGGTTTGGGCAAGTTTGGAGTTTATTTGCTGCAGTTCCTTGGAGCTAGTTTACAAGGCAAAAACAAACAAAAAACCAATTGGAATAATAATAATATTTTTAAAAAACCCTGTCAACAACTTTCAGTCATTTCTTTGTATTTTGACAAATCTTTTTTTTTTTTTTAAACAAATACAAAATAATCTAAAAGGAGAAAAACTAGGTATGGATTATTTACACCTCTGATAAATAGACTGATACTGAGCCAGCTGCTGGTCTGCCCAGGACACACCTGTGAGAACTGGTGTGCAGGAGGGGCTCTGACACTGGCCCGACTCCCCCACAACCTGGGCTGGCACTGACTGGTTCTGTACCAGGAAGCTCAGGTCTCCGGCCTGGACCCTCTTCGTTACAGTCACCTTCCCACACTCCAGCATGGAGCACCTGAAGCCACTTGATGCCAGATCCATAGGAAGGGGCCAGAGTGCTGCCCCACACTCACCCTTCTCTGCAGAGCTATTTCCAGAGATGCTGACCTCCTTCTGAGATCAGAGGAGCTGAGCTCACGCAGCTCAGCGGGACCCGTGGCTCCTCCACCTGCCTGGAGGCAGCATTCTGCCACCAAGGCCTTGGCCACGTGGAGGAGTGTGCCAAGACACCGCCTGCCACCTGCTCTGCCTGGACTGGCATGCTGGCCCTGGCCAAGGAGCAGGAGCTGCCCTTGAGAGTCCCTGAGAGAACGGCAGGAGATGCTGCGTTTCATGGCTCCCTTCACACTGAGTTAGGAGGCCAGGGCTGACTCATACATGTGCTGTGGCATGCCATGCCATAGAGGGCAAGGGGACAGAAAGGCCACCTCACCTTGCTTGACTACACTGCACCCTGCTGAGCAAGGCCCCTGCTCCTGGAGGCTACCACAGAGTGCACCAGAATAGTCCAGTTGGGGCGGCTTTTGAGGCAGAAAAGGCTGAGGCCCCAAGGGGATCAGGTAAAACCTGCTCCTTCCTCTAGAACGAGGAGTGGAGCTCTTGGGGAGGAGAAAGAAAAACCAGCTATGAAACAGTCGTCACCCGGCACCATGGGTGACCCCCTCACAGTTTTGGTTCTTAGGAAAATGCGGACTTTCCACTTTAAAGCGCAGTGGGCCTGGGTACTGAGGGCCAGGCAAGGAGCTAACCACCTTCACCCTGCCCTACAGGCACTGGGCAGGAGCTGCCCACACTGCCTGCTGCCCTACCGGGGTCTGAAGGCCTCCCCGTGTCTGCTGGGCCCTGCCAGCAGCCCTGCTTTTGCCCCTCTTGCCCACACAGGTCACGAGGCAGCAGCCTGGGGTGCCAGCATCCCCAGAGCCCCTTTCCTGGGAAGCTCCACGAGCAGGGCGCAGGAGGGCAGAGCGCAGTGCTACGTTCACTTCTGCATTAAAAACAAAAATAAAGCTTTACAGTGCGTGGCTTCTCTTCCTTTCCTCCTGTCTCCTTAGTACATACGAGTACATCCTCACAGGCATTTATGGAGCAGAGGTGAAGGCCCTTGGCCAGGAACACTTCGAGGTAAAGAGTACTCCATGTGCTGCCGTCAGTCCTGCGGAACTGAGGCGTGACACAGCGCTGCTCTGCTGCTAGCAGCGGTTCTGAGCGGCTCCAGAGCCCACGAGTGGCAGCAGCAGTCTCCAGCCGCAGCCCTCACTGCCCGCCCTTCTCCCTCTCAGAAAACTGCAAAAAGCTGAAGCGTTTCTAGGAGTGGGCAGGGACTGGCAGAAGAGCGCTCCGCTCTCCTCTGCTTGGCTCCACCGTGCCTTCGAGGGGAGGCAGGAGAAAGGGCCGCGGCGTCTCCGTGTCCTGGTGCCCCCTCAGTGTCTCTTTGTGGAGGAAACCTTCTTTTTCCGTGCAGCAAGCATCTCGTAGAAAGGGTCTCTGCTGATGGCAGCTCTGGAGCACAGAAAAGGGAGAGAGCAGGCATGAGGGGCAGACCAGCCTGTGCTGCCCCCAGAGCCGGTGCTGCCAGCTGTTACCAGGACACCCACCCCCACTCTGCCCCCACTCTGCCCACATGGCAACTCAAGGTGAGGGGACATGTAACAAAGTAACTGTAGGGTTTCTCTGCTACTTAACATTTGAGAGCACAGTCATTACACATCCCTCAGCTGAGTCCCAAGGGTGGGGATTTGGTGACTACCCTCTGCGGCCCTGAGTGCCCTGTTGTAACAGATGCCACAGGTCACTGCACACACGATGTTTGAGAGGCTGGCATGGGCTGTATGCACACCAGCTCCACATGGATGACAGGGAACCAGCCAGGTGCCTCCCCAGCACGGAGAGGGGCGCGCACAGGCAGTGGTGGTGCTTGTTCTAGGGAAACAGAATCTGTGTGATGATTAGTTCTAGTGGGTCACCAGTGACCTGGAGCCTCCAGGGCACACACATGCAAGTGCTTGCTTTCTCCCTCCTCTCCCTGCTTTCGTGTGTGTGTGTGTGTGTGTGTGTGTGTGTGTGTGTGTGTGTGTGTGGTGAGCTGACTCACCACCATAAGGGCTCAGCCTCCAAAGGAATAGTGCTAGTCAGAAGGTCTCTCATTTTCACGGTGTAGGGGATCCCGCCTTGGCTTGTGTGGGGTGGCTAACCCCTCTGGTAGGTTGCTTGTCCCTGTACAGCAGTACCCATGTGCCCAGATGAAAATATGCCGTGAAATGGTGGCAAGAACTGGGTTGGCACCAGACACTATGTGCCATGTTTAACTCCCTCTTCATCACTGTGCTGAGATCTTGGCTTGCTAGAGTCTCAGAGCTGGAAATCATACCTCTCCTCACCTGTCGGGACAGGCTCCCCATGGCTAACAGCAGGCAAGTCTGGTTTGCCAAGTGTCTGCCTGCAGACTGGACTCTGTTGGACTCAGGTTGCGATGGACCCAAGCAATGCCACTAGCTCTCTTAGGCTGCGGGGAACCACTAGGAAGAGCAGCCTTCTACAGTATATCTCCCCCAGGGAGGTCTATTTCCCTCACTGCACTCTCGTTCTACCCCTCCTCATCTCCAGCAGGAGCACAGGAAGGCTTCCCAGCCATGCCGCGCACAGCATCCTCCTGAGGCAGCACGCCGGCTGAACCCAGCCTACCACTCCAAGTCCATGTTCTTAGCTTTGCTGAACCTCAGGCTTTCATCTGTGCAGTGGGGCTTATGATCCACTGGGCCATCTCTACTGGGGCTGGGGACACAGAGACTGTGGGGCAGGGCTTCCAGCATTTTCACATCCTCCACAGAGGCTGAGCCAGAGTGCCAGGGAAGCATCAAGAATATTTGTGGGGGGGAGGGTGTCACAAGAACTTGGTAGCCCCAGAAGAAGGCCTGGCATCCACAAGGATCTAAGAAGTTCTTTAAAGAACACTCAATTTTTCTGACTACAGCAGCAAAAACTTATATGAAAGTCAAAATGTACAAAAGCAGTCAAAAATTCTTTGGAAAGAGCACTGAGGGAAGGAGCTCCTTCTGAAGCGTATTCTACTGACAGAAGCAGTGTGTGTGTGTTCAACGTGGGAAAGTGGTGGCCCACACAGGCCAGCCTGAGGCCAGGCAGAATGTGGTATGACCCAGGGCAAACACTGAGTCAGGGTCAGACAGACAGCTCCTGGACTGAGAGAAGAGTCCCAGCTCCCATGCTAACCCACACAGAATGAACTTCCGACAGCTGACATGAAGAGCACAGGACACGCACTGTGCTCTCCATTCCCTGGCCTCTGATCACTCCCAGACACACAGCCATGCTCAGAGGACAGGCTGTTTTGGGCCTCCTCATGTGCAACTCGTAGCCTGGCCCACCTGTGGACATAACGGCTGTCACTTGGGGAGAACACCTAAGTCAGGGCAGCGAGTCTTGGCCTCAGTGCTCTACCAAGGTCCTCAGAGCAGCCCTCTAAGTCCAGAATCACAGAGAAGAGGCAGGCAATACTCCCCGAAGACAGCACAGACTCCACTGCTGACAGGGTCCCAGCCCCACCCATCTGCTCCTTTCTCTAGGAACTTTGACAAGCATCTTCACCAACCCTTCCCCAGCAGCACACTGTCACAATCTCCAGCCATTTACCGATTCTCTGTCTAATCTAAAGCACTGCACTGGCTGGAGTGAAGTACTCAACACTACATTAGATAATGAGCAGGTCCTGAGCAAGGGTTGTAGCCAGGCAGAAGCCATGTTTTGTCTGAGGACACAAAGGTAGCCTGGGACCTGAAGGCATGTCTTCCTCACTCTCCAGGTCACTGAGGCCCAGGTGACAAGGAAAGCTTTCTAAGGAAGATATCTCCTGATGGCCAAAGTGCCCAGGACTATGTCTGAGGATCTATTACTGCAAGAAATCATTGCCGAGAGAGTGGGGGAGTCAGAGTGTTCAGTGGCTGTCTTCCTGGGGCAAAGAAGAAGGATTCCCAAGAGCCAGGCTTCTTGTGGCTCCTAGGGAACACACTGATAAAGGTGTCAATGAGCTTTGCAGAGCCTATTTCTAGTCACATGCCACAGTGGAAAGTCCCTGTTTCTGAAGTAAAGTTCACAACTGTGGGACTTCAAGAATTTCCCTTCACTCAGGCTGTTCTCACAGCACACAGTGAAGGGCTGGGGCTCTGCCTCATGACCTCGCATCACTGCTCTGTGACCTGCTATAATACTCATAACCTATGGCCCTTAGTTTCTGTATCCACAATGGAGAGAATGGTCTCACTGGATGAAAAGGTTGACCAAAGCCAAGTGCTATTCACACTAAGCTGGCCCAGCAAGAGATGTGGCCCCTCACAGTGCGGGGAGGTGCCACTTGTCCCTACTGTGGGTGCCTAGCTGAAGGCACAGCCTACTAATGCTCTGAGACACAGGAGTCCAAAGGCCTGCTGGGAAGCAAGCTGGGAACCTCCCTGCACACTGGCAGCGCTGGGAGGACGGGGCTGCAAGGAGAGGAGCCGTGACCGGCCATCCTGTGCGAGGAAGCACCTACTTGATGCACTTCATCCACTCGTCCTTCTCCTCAGGAGTGGGTGCTGAGATGCGGTACACAGTGTGGTTTCCTTCCACCACGCGGCCGTCAGCCTCCGTCTTACAGGCCTTAATCACTTGGTCTTTATTGTCAGGGATATAAAGTTCAAAACAGTTCTGGGAAGAAAATGAGAAGGTGACAGTAAGGTTTTAGGAAGCTGCTGACCAAAGAAAATGTTACTTCTTTTCCCAAACACTCTTTACTCTTACTTTCAAGGAATATTTATCAGAGAGTACCTTCAGAAAATGTGTTTTCTGAGGGTGGAAGACATAAGTCAGTTGGTAAATACTTGCTAAAGAAGGATGAGGACCTGAGTTTGATCCTGCATTTAAAAAGCCAGGTGTGGACCCAGAGTGGTGACATATACCTTTAGTCTCAGCACTCGGGAGGCAGAGGCAGGTGGATCCCTGAGTTCGAGGCCAGCTGGTCTACAAAGCTAGGTCCAGGACAGCCAGGGCCACATAGAGAAACCCTGTCTTGAAATAAAAAACAAACAAAAATCCCAGTATGCTGGCACACATATGCACTTGAAGTGTCAACAATGGGAGGTAGAAACTAGCAGATCACTGGGACTCTAGGGCTGGCTAGCCTAGGCCAACAGGCAAACCCCAGCTTCCAATAAGACACCTTGTTCTTTGTCTGTGTGTGTCCTTCTCATTGTGTGCATATGTGTAAACGTGGGCAAACATATGCCAGAATAAACGTGGAGGCCAGAGGTCAAGCAGGCTCTCTTCATGCTTGATGTCGTGTACTCTAGGCACTCTGGCGCACGGAGTACAGGGACTCTCTTTTTTTAAGAATTCATTAAAAAGAAGAAAAAAAAGCAAAGAGAAAAAGCAAGGCATGGTGGTGCACACCTTTAAACCTAGCACTCAAGGAGGCAGGGGCAAGCAAATCTCTGAGTTTGAGGCCAGCCTTGTCTACAGAGAACTGTAGGTTAGCCAGGGCCATGCAGTCTCAAAACAAACACATATTCATGTGTGTGTGCAAGTGTGAGTACAGGTGTGGGCATGGACCTCGGAGGACGGCCTCCAGTGGAAACCTTGTCATGCGCCTTGTCTGAGACAGGGTCTCCTTGTTGTTTTCCCCCTGCACACACTCAGTGAGCAAGCCCATGGCTTCTGGAAATCCTCCTTTCTCCAGCTCCTCACTGTACGAGCACGGGGATTACAGACACACATGATCCGCACTCAGGTTCTTGTGCCAGAACTTGTGTCACACGTTCCCCACCAGGCCACCTAGCCAGCTTGACACCCTGTCTCAAGAAACAAGGTGGACAGCCCCTGAGGAATGACACCTAAGGTTGACCTTACGGGCATCAGTGAACACACATTGCACGCACACATGCACCTGTGCAAATGGGCACATGGACACAGTTTTTCCTATGGAGAAAGCAGCTCAGAAGAGGACACCGCAGGCTGTCAATCGTGCTACCTAAGATGCTGGCCTGGCGCCATCCGGCTCCACTCCCGACAGACAGGAGCATGTCTACAGCTGTGGCTCAGTTGCCCCCGAGCCAGACAGTGCTCCAGAATTAACAGGTCAGCAGCAAGCTGCGACGTCACAGCTGAGCTGTCAGGAGAGGCAGTCTCAAAGTCAGTGAGCCCACTGCAGCAGACAGAACTAGCAGGCTACGGTCTTCTCTTTCTCTTGAAAACTGAGCATAAGCAAAGCAGCGGGAGGTAACAGCAGGGCTTTGTTTTTCAGGCTCTCGGGTCTGTCTTAGGCCACTCTCCTTCAGGGCGGGTTATCGCCATCCCTGCTGGCCCTGGGCATGGTAGCAGGGATACTCACCGGCTTTTTGGAGTCTTCCACCTCTCGGATACTCAGATTCTCCAGGGGGATGATCCCACGGGGCTCTTTATCCTGGGCAGGGGCAGCAGAGAGGCTTGACTCCCCATTGAGGAAACCCCTGTTCTTCCTCCCTCAGCCCGTTCTGACTCCTCCCTCTCAGGCATAAAGCTCCCAGATGAGCTCCAGACCTCATTTGGGTTGTACAATAGGTCCCGGGTCAGGAGAGTGTAGCATGGCTGGGAAAATTCAAAGCCTTTTGCCGATAAAAAGGCCAGGGGCTCAGCAGGTGTCATCAAAGTGTACCTGACAGTCAATGACCCATGAGGCCTCAAGCTGGAAAACACATCAGCTACCTAAGAAAGAGCCTCCCCTCCTCCATGTCTTTGTCTGGTGTTCCTTTCCCTTTTCCTAGCCTTTGTTCTGTTCCACTAACTCTTGGAAGCCTTTCCCAGCCTAGGTCTAGGCACCCCTGCCCACGTCTGAAGGGACTCCAATTGAAAGTCAAATTTCCTCCTGCTCACTGCATATCACCTGAATTTGATAGTTGATGTATCATCATCATCATTATTAGTGTATTATTATTAGGGTAACACTGTCTTTTGGACAGCTGCTCCAAGATCCACAGAGGTGCCTGAACCCAGGTCTGGACAGACCTTGACACCTCCCTCCATCTCAACTGGCACTCTCAGGTACTGTCTATCTCACCAGCCAAGGCCCTTACCATGGACATATTTCTATCCTACCAGCTAGCTAACCTTGGTCAAGCCCTGTTGCTTTTCAAACATACTAATCAGAGTTACACATGTACAATGTGTCAATAACAAACAACCCCACCAACTAACCAAACAAACCCTGTTCTATAATTGTATAAAAACAAACAAGTATGTCTTTTAGACATTTCCCCAAATTCTGTGGGAACAGTTATCCTCCTCTTTCCAACTGTTTAGTACTGAGTTTAGGTCACACCATCTGAGGTTCACCTACAGGGAATAAGCTCCTCTTGCCTCGAGCTAAGGTATGCTGGCCTCCTGTTAGTACCACTCTGCTCCTCAAGCTGTGCCACACAGCAGCTAGTCTGCACCAGGGAACCTATTCCACCTTTGTTCTCTTTCCCTCAACTCAAAAATTATCTAATTGGGCAGTGTGTGTGCTTATTTTTCCATCAAAATGGTACCAAAATCAATTGCATGTGCTTCATTTTGTCAAAATCTCCTTTCTTAGGTTAATTCATATTGAGTAGTCTCCTAATCTTAACTCTGTGGTAACATTCCTCCCACAGCCAGGTGGCCTCTAAGTTTGGTGGCATATCCCTGAGTTTGCAGCTGTCCACTATTTCAGTGCCTTAGTCCACTTCCCACAGATAAGATTTTCCCCATTTTGCTGGGGAAAATTGTCATTTGACAGGGTTCATCTTCTACCAGCATTCTAAGGAAAGGTACGAAAGGCAGAGAACCCTGTTAAAATCTCCCTGTTTGGGAAGGTTTCCACCTGACTGAGGGCTTGGCTGGGTCTAGCAGTGTGGGTAGAGAGCATCCTCCAGACTGTAACACATGGACCTCCTTCAGTTCTTGGGGCTGTGCTGTACTAAGTTTTTCTGTTGCCTGAAGCTTTTCTCTTTGTCCTCTAGGTACTGAGACTCAGTAAGGACATGGATTTGGTGACCATTTATTTAAGCCTAGAAGCACATTCTCCACTTGGGGACGATTTGAAGTTACCATCCTCTCTGCTGCCATCCTCTCTGGGTTACATGGGACCTCTTGGGCTAGCTCTTGTCTCCAGTATCATTTCCTATGCCCTTGTACTCTTTCTAGGAAACCTTTATGTTTCTTTCCAGCCTCCTGCACTGATGACTGGCGTGTTTCATTTTCCAGAGCATGTTTGTACTTGGACTCACTGTGTCCCTGTTCCCTGGCTCCCAGCTGCCATGGGCATCTCTAGGAGACTAGTAGCAAGCTCTCCACCTGGCATGCCTCCCACCTGGCTTTGGTCTCCTCCTGCTCTCAGTCAGAAGCCCTCTTAGCCATCTGGGCCTACCACTTGTGTCACTGGAGAGTGGTGGACTGCAACTGGTCTTTTGTTACTTTGTGAATTCTTCTTTTTCCCACTCTTAAACCCCCCCCCTTTGCCGGTTTCATCCTATTACTAGATAGGAGAGAAAGAAGGATCAGGGACAGGGAGAGAAACCCCTGCATCTAATTTCTTTCTTCTTTGCTTGCAGCTATTCTTTGCTACTTTTTAGGTTCTTCTTTTTCCCATTGTCCTCCCTCTCCCAGTTTCACCTCTATCACTAGAGAGAGAAGGATCTAGGAGGGAGAGAGAGATAGAGATCCCTCATTGAGCGCTGTAACCAACCCCTTGGAACTAAAAACCTTGCCTCTTGGGGCACTAGCATTTATAAACCCTCTGAAAAGTTCCCAGAATTCCAAACATCACATCATTGCAGAATCTATCTGCAGGTGGCAAAACCATGCCTCTGCTAGAGCACGAGGCAAATCACAGTCAGCTGCTGCAGACAGTCTGAAGCTGCCCTAGATACCCACACCTGGGATTAAAACAAAAACATATTCTTATAATATTTGTGTTGTTTAAAGAAACCAAAATTCCTAAATTGTCATTACAGTGGACTAAGCAGAGTAAGAGTAAGCTGTGGACTGCAGGTTCTTCTCACAAGGTTCCTCTCACAGGGCTAACCACAGAGTCTGCCTGAGACCCTTACAGCCCTCTTCAGGGGCATCAGTCACTCACAATGGCAGTTACAGGAGGGAAGATAGCACATTCACCCATAGTCTCCCTAGCCCTCCTACACACATACAATGCCTTAGCCTTATCGGTGCTAAGCGGATCCCTTGGTCCAGAGACTCATGGTATTCCCCTATCTAGAGGAGAAGTCTCTAGACTGCTACTGGGAGAGTGACCACTGGGTTTCCTAAACAGTTCCCAGCCAGCCCACTTCCCCACTCCTCTTTCTGTCCTCTCTACTGTCATTTCCAGGCCTCACAATGCCTGAACTCTTAAGTGTTGTGATGTTGAGTGGGCTGAGTCAAGCCATCCTGATGCAGACCCTTAGGAAGCTGTGGCTTCTTTAATCTCCCAGACTGCAGGGGTCTGAGGGAGTGAGCTACATGTGCATGGCACATGATCCGTGCTCTGAGTGTGTGGCTATAATCAAAGGGCTTATACCATCATCTGAGCAGGCTCAGGAGGCCCTGGGACCAGCCAGGGAGACCACTGGGCCTCTGCTAACTTCCCCACATTTGTTCTGCAGGCTGACACTGGCGGAGGTAAGCCAGCATGCTCACCTCTGTGCATGCCACAGAAGCTGGAGAGCACTAGGAATCCTGGATCCCAACACTGAGAGTATGTTCCTGGCTAACAATGTCAAGTCCAAAATATGAAATGGGGTCCCTGTGGAGGACTTTCATTCTGCGGCATGTGGATGTCCAGTGGCTCAAAGAACAGCTCAGCAGGAGGACCTGGATCTAATCCCAAGCACCAAAAGTAAAATAAGCAAAGGATTCTACACCAGTTTAGGTAGACTTTGGCACACCTTACCACTGTTCATCTATGCCACGAATAATTTGCGTTTCCCACAAGAACAGATGTAACCAGCACTGATGGCTTTGGCCTATATGATTTCTTAGAGCAAGTACTGCTATCGTTGCAAAAATATGACCTGCTCATTATAAAAAAGAAACTTAAAATACTGCAAAAATAAATAAAGGAAAGTTTAAAAACATTCTAAATGAGAGATCACTAACGATGACCACATGGACAAGAGACTGAGGGCTAATGCGATGGAGAGAAAGAAACAGGTCTGTGAGGACGGGCTATTTCACATAGTATTTTCATAAAAGATGTGCTATTAAGAAAAAAAAAAATCAAAGCTGGGTGTGGTGGTGCACGCCTTTAATCCCAGCATGGGAGAGACATCGGCAGGCAGATCTCTGAGTTTGAGGCCAGCCTGGTCTACACAGCAAGTTCCAGGACAACCAGGGCTACACAGAGAAACCCTGTCTCAACAAACAAACAAAAATAAATAAATAAAAATCTTTTAAAAAGGGAAAAAAAAATTGAAGCAGAATTGAAAAAATACAGAATTTCAAGGTAAATATTTTCTTGCCACAAAGACCATTCTTGGAGCAGCTTTATAAAAACTGCTAGGTGTTTAATCACTCTGTTTTTAAAGGTGTCATGTGACTCAGCTTTGACAGTTTGAAATTAAGTATTCTTCCTACTGCTTAGTCCCTGTCATCACTAACTTCATTTGATACTTTCCAGGTTTCTAATGCCCCAGCCTGTGCCACAGACACAGGGTCCCAGTGTTGACACAGTTCAGGGTCGACCCGGTGTGTCCACACTGCTTCCGCGCTCGGATGTCTTAGCATCAGTTAAGCATGTCTGAGTCCCAGGCCTCTTTAAGCGCCCATTTGAACCTGAGAATGCTGTGGGTTCCACATTTAAGAGCACTTCAGCGCTGGCCCTGCCTTGCAGTGTGGCTGGCAGCGGCCTCAGCACAAGGCCACACTTTGGGAGTCTTGCTTCAGTGCCACAGCTCAGTGTCTGATGCTGCAGCTCTCCCAGCTGTACACTTCAGTACTGCACCTCTGTCAGCATTCTTGGCTGCTGAGCTCAGCACTTGTGTTTCAGGTTTAAGTGAAGGAGGTCAGCATCCAGCTCTCCTACTTGCACCCCCAACCCTCTACATCCTGGGAAGAATCCAACCAATCCATCGAAACTTTGACTTTGTAGATAATTTCACTGGCACTGAAATTATCTCCTGTCCCCAGCACCTAACTTTATGGCATTTGTTCTCCCTGCAGGAAGTGAGGACATCATTAGTTAATGCGTCTTACCCCTTAAAGTTTACACAGACTTGCTGAAGAATGAACAACAACACCACAACCCTATAGTGATTCAGAAACACACAGCTTTGGCTCTCATGAGCTGAAGTCCTGTTCTGCCTCGATCACTCTGGTCCCTATTCAAGTGACTTCATGCTATCTTCCTGGAGTCTCTGAGGGCTGGTGTTTGACAGTCTGTGCTTCCCATAGTGCCCTCAGGGAACTGGAGGGAGCTCATGTGAAGCAGACTTTCTTCCTTTCACCACTCTGCTTCTACTTGCATCAGCCTGCGTCTTCCTCCAGGCCAAAGGGTGGAGTGGGCTGATCTCATGCCCAGGCTGCAGGCACTCTGCAACTCCAGCTGTTCTTTCCTTCCCACTGCCAGATGGCACATGAACAAACCAGCTGTGCCGTTTCCTGGTCTGGCTGTCCTCAGCTCCACACACTCAGTTTCACTAGGGTTGTGTGAAAGCCTGTGCTAGGAAAACTCTAGACACTATAAAGCCACATCAAGGAAGGGCTTGGAAGGGTGGGGAGCCCCGGAAGAAAACTATTGAGACTTCTGTCCATAGCACTCTGGGAAAGAAACAGTATTTAAAGTACTGCTCTGGTGTTTGAAAAGGCTTTAAGTACAGAAAAGCAAAGCTAGTTGCAGAACTTGGTGCTATGAGTGGGGCCCTGAGGAGCAACACCTTGAGAACAGCTTTCCGTCATGTCCTCAGCATGAATCACTGAACTGAACCTGTAATTCGACGAAACTAGCCTAGAACTCACTATGTGGGTCAAGGTGGCCTCAAACTTGTGGTTATCCTCCTGTTGATTTTTTAAATTGTTATTAAACACCATTTTGTTCCACCTCTACCACAGAGGAGACTTCGACCCTTTTTCTCAGTGGGATCAATTCCTTGCTCATTAAAGATCCAGCTAAGTTACCTCTACTGACCTAGTTGGAGACCCAAGTCCAACCCGAATGCGAGAAGAACTGCCTCTGCTTGGAGGAACACTGCCACACCATGCACCAGTGGAGGTCATGGTCTGAGCACCAGCTTGTTGCTTTCTGGGTGCTCTCCCCACAGGACGTCCAGAGGAATTTTACTGTGTACTCTTTACCCCATGACAACAAAGGGCACCTCTATGTGACGCACTCCTACAGGGAAGTCTTGTCCCAGTGAACAGACACCAACAGAACTTCCACGGTGTAAGGAAATGTCAGTTTCCCAAACCTCCAGATTCTCTCAAGTGAACCATTCCTTCCCCTTTTGTTTTGCTCCTTTTCCTCTATCTCTTACCACTGAACTACTTCTTCTGAATCAAATCCTTCAGCATTTCTGAGGCCATAGAAAATCTGAGTTCACCAAGGCACAACTATTATCCCTTTTACTAGGTTCTCGGCAAATGACCCAAATTCCATGTTTCCAGCCCAGTTCCCAACAAGCTCCAACACTGTGTTCACAGCTCTAAGACTTGTGCCTCCTGTCGTGTCTAGAACTGGGGGCTGGCTCTGGGCCACCCTCCTTGCCAGTCCCTCCACATCCTTGTGAGGGTGTTCTACTTTGAGATTTAGTTCTTCCCTGGCCCCATGGAAGTAGAAGGGTAGCTCTGACCATCTCCCCAGGGTCTCCTCTAGCTGTGCTCAGCTGGAGTGTTGGGAAGCAGAGGACTGGTCTGGCCTACCCCAGGCGGACCAGCAGATGCTTACCGTGGTGTATTCAAAGTAGTAAAGGCAGTTGTCAGTCAGAATGAACCAGCGCCTCTTCCAGGTCTTCACCCTGCCACCTGAGAGCAAAAAGGAGATGCTTTTGACAAGAGACACCCAGGCAGGTGCATGCTACACACACACACACACACACACACACACACACACACACACACACACA